GAACACACATAAACAAACCGCACTCCACTCCAATTTAAGCTCTCACAGAAACGGCGAGATTAAGGGGTGTGTCTGGAGGACATACTGGTTTCTTTTCTAAATAAAAAAAATGAAATATTGCAAGGGCTTCACAACTTTGGCAAGGAAATTCAACACGTCCCTGTTATATAAAATGCTACTTGCTGAACTGACAATATATTTTTTTTTTAGAAAGCACACAACTTAGGCATGTTGAAAGTTTTTGCTGCAACTTTAGTGACGTTTGAGTAGATCAGCAATACTTTCTCAGCCAGCAGAATGTCGCTGTCACGTTCAAGACAACAGTTCCCAGTAGTAGCTCAGGGACAACTTTAGGTGAGGGTCCTACGTGCAACTGTTGTGAGGATAAAGAGGGGGGGGACCCCTTAAAAATGGCTAAAATATTGCAAGATTGGCCTTCTTGCTCGAAATCCTGTAAGTCTTAAGGTGAATTACACAACATCCCACAAAACGTTTAGGCAGGAACAACTAAATCGTGTGAAATTTGGCAGCTAGTAACATTTCAGCCTTTTGAATTCCAGAGTCCTACTGACAGCTTAGGGCAGGGGTAGGCAACCTTGGCTCTTTTATGACTCGTGGACTTCAACTCCCAGAATTCCTGAGCCAGCTGGCTCAGGAATTCTGGGAGTTGAAGTCCACGAGTCATAAAAGAGCCAAGGTTGCCTATCCCTGGCCTAGGGGAGTTGGAGAGCCTTGGTACCCATAGACGCCATATTGCTAACTCTTGACGTACGTGGTTCATCTTCAAGAAAAGAGTGATGGTGTCGCTCTTTCCTTGCACACTGGAAATCTTCGCTGCAACCCCTAGAGTGACTTCTGGGTAAACCATCTTTTCAGGAGTTGGAAGCACACAGGATTGTATGGGGAAATTCCCAAAGCATTGTGCCTCATTGGCTACAGCCAGGAGCTGCCATTACCAGTCTTTTTATGGTACCCAAATGTGTACCAGCTTCATCTACTTTCTGTTGGGTGTTTTTACCTTTAATCCACATTCGTGCACTGAGCTCTATAAAATGCACATTTGCAGGCTTCAGAATGAAGTGTAAAGGCTGGTCCAAAAACATGCTTGGGGCACCTTCTTTGGGCCTTAGATGAAGTAGAGATGGTCACATCAAGCAAAGCGGAAAACGGATACAGGTTTACATATGGACTGTAGTAACGGCTCCTCCCTACCCCTCTAGGTACGAAGCTGCTCCAATCCACCAGGGGCTGTTCTAGCTTTCATTGTTTAATTTTGTGCAGAATGTCAATAGGTTTCTCTTCCATGGTGCCTGGGAGTGGAAGTCCAGGCATCTTCAAGCTGCCAAGGCTGAGAAACACCGACCGAGTACCTGAAAACTACAGGTAGTCCCTCGACTTACAACAGTTCATTTAGTGACCATTCAGTGTCGCAACGGCACTGAAAAATGTGACTTATGGCCTTTTTTCACAGTTATGACCTCTGCAGCATCCCCACGACCACGTGATCAAAATTCAGACGCTTGGCAACTGGTTCCTATTTATGACCGTTGCTGTGTCCCCTTTTGCGACCTTCTGACAAGCAAAGTCAACGGGGGGGAGGGAGATTTACTTTACAACCGGGTTACTAACTTATCATCTGCAGTGATTCACTTAATAAGTGTGGCAAGGAAGGTTGTAAAATGAGGCAAAACTCAACAAATGCCTCACTCAACGACAGAAATGTTTAGCTCAGTTGTGGTCATATGGCAAGGACTACCTGTATTCCAGAATTAAAGGCAATTGGGCAATTCTATGAATTCCTACAGCCTCACCTCACCTAAAACAGGCCCAAGGGAAATGCTCTTTAACAGATTCATCGCAACATCACTTGGAGTAACAGTCAGGTCAACCCCAGGGTCTTCTTACCTCGTCTCAGATTAAGGCTGCTTATCTGGAAAAACTATGCCAGTCCATTTCTGCTATTGTATTTAAATGGAGCTCCTTTCTCTGGTCTATTTTCTACTCCACTCTACCCCATGCCATTCTCAATTTATTTAGGGAAAAAATTGCTCTGCTCCACGGGGGCCCTCACCCAAAACATCACACGTGCGCCCTGATCTGTGGGGGCCACAGACCTATCTACACACAGCAGATGCATCACTGTTTGTGGGAATTGCTTTGTTCTGGTTTACCAAATCAGGCCAAGGACAGACTCTGGCTTGCACCAACAGCTTGGGAAAGGGTCCCATGAATGCCTCAGTTCAGGCTGAGGAAAACATTCCTGTTCAGGGGTAGCAAAGAATGAGGAGAAAAGGGGCTACTGGTCCCACTGTGCAACCTCTTCAAAATACAAGCAGGATTCTCTTCCGGTGTACAGGTGCATTGAAATACATTCGGTCTCAAGAGATTCTTCTATGCCAGTGAATTTTCAATTCACCAAGGAAGAGAAACAGGGGCAAGTATTGTTCCTTCTGCATTGGCCGCCGTGACCACTTAAGAATCCAGGCCAGACTATATGATGCAGTCCTATACTTTTTTGCTCTCTTTTTATGGAATGTGAAGAAGGCCGTAGAAGTCAACTGAATCCAAGGCCAGTGTCTTTGCCTTAGCCAGTGTCCCTGAAATTTAAGTGGGAAAGTTAAAAATGATAACTCTTTTCCTTTAGGATTTCTGCCACACTGCACAATTATTTGTGGGGGGGACACATTCTGTGAGCTTGTTAGCTCCAAACAGGTTTCGGCAATACTGGACATTTTAGGACAGGGGTCTTCAAACTTGGCCCTTTTATGACTTGTGGACTTCAACTCCCAGAATTCCTCAGCCAGGCACACGTGCCTGGCTGAGGAATTCTGGGAGTTGAAGTCCACAAGTCATAAAAGGGCCAGGTTTGAAGACTCCTGTTTTAGGAGGTGTCAGAAGACCCAGCAATATAGAAAACATATGACGCATATAAAGCTATTCATGACTAAATCGTTTCATTAATATAAAAAATGCCAGGTGACATAAGACTTGCTGCCTAGGGAACAAACAATCTTTGAAAAATCTCTTATGGTCAAGTGCCTTACACAAGAGGTGCTCTGTTTCTCTTCTATGTGCCCAAGTTACACAAAATAAATTAAAATGTTTTCCTATATTTCTGTGCAAGGTTCCTCAAAGGTAAATCATAATAAATTCAGTGGGGCTTGTGCTCTGCAAATTGGTCAGAAAACGCTTAAAATGCACACAATAAGATAATTTGCATTTCAAGGAAAAAGATACACACATCAATGTAAAAAATTACCATTTTTTAAAAAAAATGAATCCCACATAAGCAAGACTGTTTTGGAGCGTCTTATTCATGGCATTTAAAGAAAACGGAAAAGTCATTCCGTGCCTCAAGCACTGGCCTTTTACGTGGAAGAAAATCAAATTTATTGGGCTTTTTTGGTCTTTTGAAATTAAATTACAGCATGATTCCTTGATGCTGATATAAGTGAAAAATACACAACTGACCTTTTTATATATTGTGATTGCAGCACGAAAAATTATGGATCAGGTAAAGAGGTAAGGAGTTGCTCTCTTCTCTTTTTTTTCTCTTATTTTCCTAACTTTTTTTCCCTATATTTTTTAATCTTATAACGAAACTTAATAGCATTTATGAAAAAAAAATATACAGAGGTAGGAGACAGATAAATCCCAATGCTTAATAAAAGGGCGGGAAAAGGCACTTGGCTTGCTTCACAGGAAGAATCACAGTGAGGGAGCTACGCAGGCAAATAAACTGATTTTTTAAAGAACACTTGCCTGAAAATTAAAAACAGTAGAACTTAGCAAGATTCTGACCTTCGCAAAGCATGAAGGATGCACCTCAGCCATTAAGCTACTGTATTTTTGTGGAGATCTGCCCAAGGGAATCTGTTCAAGGGAATCAAGATAGCTACCACAATCAAACAATCAAAGCCTTACCCTTTGTTAATCTGCATCAGAATACATTTATAAAAGGGAGTGGTTTGAATCAGGTTTGTGGCCGCCACCTTGATTTTTATGATCACCCTTCCTATGGACACCCCTATGTACTTCTAGTCAGCCTAGCTTTGACTGTTACTTAAGAAATGAAGTCTGCATTCTGGCAAGTTCCTAGTCGCCCTAAAAAGAAATCACTTGCTATTAAAGCTTGGGAATTTGTTTCATTATTCATAGGGATACCAAGCTTCTAAAGAAGACTACCAGATTCTAAGCTGATCATCCAGAGCAGAGTTTTTCAAACTTGGCAACTTTTAAGACAGGTAGACTTCAACTCCCAGAATGCTGGGAGTTGAAGTCCACCCATCTTAAAAGTTGCCATGTTTGAGAAACAACTCATCCGGAATCAAAACAAAACACTGGCCTTCTGTGAGAATGTCTACGGTGAACATGCATTTCCCATTCACCTTCCTCTTCCTCACCAGATCCACTTTGAGTAGGCATCAGCCCTGGTGTTCGACCTTGTTCCAAAATGTTGTCAAGCTGATGGACAAATGTACTAACCCTAATCTTAACCCCAAACCTGCCCAAGAGTTCTGCAAGCAACTTTGGAAGAGCTTTTGGTGCAGGCAGACCAACAGTATAGCTTTAAAAAAAAAAGAAAATTAAGCTTCTTTTCCAAATACAACAAGATGCCCATCTCCTTAAACCAACTTAAGAAACCCAGGTTCAATCTGAGATCCAAAGGAGAGTTTATGAAGATAATATGATCAAGGCATCAAGCCTTCCCTAGACAGGATCGCCATAGCTATGGGTGGGGAGTTGTAAGTCCCTGCACATAAAATGCTACTTTAGAAAAGGGCAGATAGGGCCAGCTTCCCCATTAAGACGGTGTGCGTACGTGTGTGGGTTTAACGTGGAAATAGTGTTCAATTATGTATACACCCCTGTTGGGGGAACTCCAGGACAAAACTTGATTACCTCGTTCTTCTGTCCATATGAACCGGCTCTGGTCCTAACCTGAATCCAGAACCTATTTAATAAGATAAAAAATCCTGGACCACTTAACTTTGGGAAGAAGAGGGGGGCAGATTCCAGAATGGCTATACACAGTCCTATTAATAGCTGCAGTTGCCCTTTTACAGGAGGCAAAACGAATAAGCCGTGTAATATAAATTTGCATTTAACAAAAGAGAGAAAGACAAATGAGACAGTACCTGGTTTGCCCAGTGTAGCACTTGAATTAACTGCAAGATACATGCAAAGTAAATGGCTATCTTAAAAGACCAAAAAAAAAAAAAGAGAGAGAGAGAGAGAGAGCAGTCTGTTAAAAAAAGCTTTTTCTTATACACGTGAAACAACGCTTTTTTTTTGTTTGTTTAAGTGAGTCTTTTAGCTACGTCGCTGTAGGCGATTTCAATCTCTTTGTCTCCAGGACAGGTGTTGGTGAATTCATCGCGGCTGTAGGCGTTCTTCAGGTATCTCCAGATGCCCGTCATAGACTTGGGAATATCAAAGTTGCGATACTTTTTGGCCACAATCTAGGAGCAAAGAAAGAACTGGGTTTCAGAAGAGTATTTTGGAGAAACTTGAAGCCTGAGAAAGAACTGTCTAAATCAGGGGTAGTCAACCTTGGCTCTTTTATGACTCGTGGACTTCAATTCCCAGAATTCCTGAGCCAGGAATTCTGGGAGTTGAAGTCCACGAGTCATAAAAGAGCCAAGGTTGACTACCCCTGGTCTAAATGGAGCTTCTCCGAAACCAACTGACACAGCATTTAATTCACCAGATTTCCTTCAGAAAGCCTCCCAAAAACATACCGATGCGCACCTTAGCAACTTTAAGATGGATGGACTTCAACTCCCAGAATTCTCCAGCCAGGGAAAAATTCTGGGAGTTGAAGTCCTCATATACCTAAAGTTACCAAGTTTGAAAAATGCCGATTTAAACAAATACGATGCTATCAGGAACCTCTTTTAACTTCCACCCGATTCAGTATTCATCCTGCAAATTCTAAATTAGCCCACAACACAAAGGTTTCAGAAAACAGGGACAGTTTAAACTGGTTTTCAGCTTCATACATTTAGCTGAAAGTCCAGCATTAAATCCCAAAGGTGCTTTTCAAAGGGCCACTGTGTAGAGATAGGGGCCAGGTAGAGGTCGGGAGCAGCAAACTGCCCCCCTCCAAAGCCTGCATGCCTCTTCTCTCTACATCAGTGGTTCTCAACCTTTTTAATGCTGCGACCCCCAACCGGTCGTAAGTCGAGGACTAAACCAGTCCTAAGTCGAGGATTAAACCGGTCGTAAGTCGAGGACTACCCAACCAGTCGTAAGTCGAGGACTTTCCCTGCCCGGGAGCGCCACGTATGCGTGGTTCCGCCCCCTGCGCCGGCCGAGGCGTAGCTGGCAAGCGGCAGAGACGGAGCAGGCCGACCACCAGCTGGCCCAGCCCAAGGGAGGTAAGGCACCCGCCGGAAAAGGGAAAAAAAATGGCGGACAGCCTTGCTTGGCGACCCCCATGAAATGGTCGATCGACCCCAAATGGGGTCGCGACCCATAGGTTGAGAACCGCTGCTCTACATGATCTCATCCCTTCACATCACCATGGCAATGTGGGAAACTACCCCAGGCTGGTACAATGACCTCACCTGCCTGATATCAGCTAGGTTACACCAACAGGATGTAGCAGCAAACTGCTCCCTGTTTGGGGCCTCCTGGCTGATATCTTCTTAAGGATTGGTAAGGAGTTTAACCAATAAAATGCTATTGCTACGCTATTGCCATGTTAAACTTTTGCTGCTTGGAAAACTGTATAAAAGAATAAACTGTATAAAAGAATAAACACTGCGAAGGTGGTCAGCCATATTTGCACCCTGCAATGACTGAGCACTGATTACTACACCACTGGGCTTCCTTGCTTATTTTCCATGAAAACATTTCGCTTCTCATCCAAGAAGCTTCTTCAGTTCCGAACTGAGCTTTTGAATGTTGCTTCGGTTTTGAACATTTTCAAGGAAAATTACCAAGAAGGTCCAGCTGCCTTTTGAAAAGCACCGTTGGGACAACCATGACTTGGATAATTGGGAATCTCCATGGATATTTAGTCGAGCATTAAATCTGTAGGTAGGCTTGTTTCAGTTCTTGGGTCAAAATTCCACCTACTTTGACAATATGTAGCTTGGGTAACAGGTTGCAGTCTGCCAGCGTCATCTCGTTCCCATCCAGGAATTTGCGCGTAGAGGCAGGGATGTCTTCCATGCTGTTCTCGTCAATCTCATCGGGGAGGGGACTAAGTAAGTACTCATCCAGCTTCTGCAGAGTCTTCAAAAGACCCCTCTCTAAGACTGTAGGGTAAAAAGCAGCAGGGGAAGGGGAAAACAAGAGTGCAGAATTAGATCATCCCTCTGACTTCTCTCTAGAGCAGTGTTTTTCAGCCTTGGCAGCTTTAAGATGTGTGGACTTCAACTCCCAGAATTCCCCAGCCAGCATGGTAGCCAACAGATGGAGAAAGAGCCTCTTGGGAAGAGTTCAAAGTTCACTTTAATGACTTCTACTGCCTTCTATCCTGCTCTATGGAGTAGAGAGTCGGTCTCTGATAGAAGGCCACCTGAAGAGACTAGAAGCATTTGAAATGTGGATTTACAGGCGGCCGTTACGTATAAGCTGGGTTGACAAGATCAGAAATGAGGAGGGGATAAGCCGCCTGGGAAAGCCAAGGGAAATCATCAAAACAATTAAAAAATGAAAATTAGAATATTTTGGACATGTGATGCGACACCCAGAAAAGTACGGCATACTCCATTTAATCCTCCAGGGAAAGGTTGAAGGCAAACAAGGTCCAGGCAGAAGAAGAACATCGTGGCTTCAAAATCTAAGGGACTGGTTTGGACAAAACTCAGCAGCACTTTTTCGTGCAGCTGCTAAAAACAGGATCGCCAACATGATCACCAACATCCAATAACGGATATGACACAAGAAGAAGACTGCCTTTTACCACTGCTGTTTACTGGGTTGTTTCTTCTGACATTTATTTTAATTATTTCTTTTGGTGTTTTTGTTTATTTGTATTCATTTATTGTATTTCCATGCTGCTCATCTAATAGAGGTAGTTCTCGGCTTCCAACAGTTCCTTTAGTGACGATTCGAAGTTACAACAGCACTGAAAAAAAGTACTTTGTGACAGTTTTTCACACTTCTGACCCTGTAGACCAAAATCAATGGGGAAAGACAGGTTCACTTTACAACTGTGTCACTAACTTAACAACTGCAGTGATTCACTTGACAACTGTGGCAAGAAAGGTCATAAAATGGGGCAAAACTCACTTAACAAATGTCTCACTTAGCAGCAGAAATTCTACTCAGCGAATCTGAGCAGCTTACAATATAATAAAAAGTTAAAAAGGGCAAAAAAACCCCAATTAAAATAGAGTAAAAGGTTAAAGATTAAAATTAAAAACCAAGATGATGGGCAGCCCAGGGAGCGAATCTTCTCTATCCCATCAGCCACTCCAAAAGTAGCAGGCTCCTGCTAGACCAGGGGTAGGCAACCTTGGCTCTTTTATGACTGGTGGACTTCAACTCCCAGAATTCCTCAGCCAGCATGGGGGAACTATGGCCCCTTCATGACTGGTGGACTTCAACTCCCAGAATTCCTCAGCCAGCATGGGGGAACTATGGCCCCTTCATGAGTTGTGGACTTCAACTCCCAGAATTCCTCAGCCAGCATGGCTCAGCTTGGAAACCTCTCCCTTTCCCCTCAGCATGGCTGGCTCAGGAATTCTGGGAGTTGAAGTCCACCAGTCATAAAAGAGTCCAAGGTTGCCTACCCTTGTGCTAGATCATAGGTATGAAATTGATCGTGTCACATAACATATTGTGACGTATCACACCGTTTTTTGCCTTTGCAGAGACAGGGTGGGTGTGGCCTGCGTGTGATGTGTCCGGCCCGCGGGCCGCCAGTTTGACACCCCTGTGCTAGATGGTCTACGTAGGAGATGGCCAGGCTGAGCCCGAGGGCAGGGTCAAATACACCATTAGTATGGAATCCTTATGTCCTCATAACAGACCTAAATCCAGCCCCCTTTGAAGTCCATTGACTCTTATCGCCAACTCGCCTTGACCATTAGCTCAGATTCTTTTGTACAGATAGCATGAGACAAACTTGTAGTACTTTTGAACTCTGTCCTGGCTCCTGATTTCTTGCACCGGACAGTCAAGCTCCCTTTACAAGGCATTTCAGCCTTGAACAAAATAAAGGTGAGATATTAATCGAATAATAAATATATTTCAAAAGCTTAAAACATAATCAGAAGCTCTCTTCATCTGTAAACTGTACTAAGTTTTGGAAGGAACAAGGTCTCTTCAGAGTAAGAATTAGGCTATTAAGTCTCTTGGCTTGTGGGGTTTGTTTTTTTTTTTTTGCCAAAATCTCCACCACAGCTCTGGATGGGTTCTTCCCGCAGAACACCACCAGGGGGCGCTCTTCTTCAACCCAACTTGTCTTCTTGCAGAAACCTGGGCTAAAAACAGAGGTTCCTTCTCCCATTTCAGATAGTGCTGATAGATCCGGAAGCAAAGTGCCTCTAGGAATTCCCAACTGCCGCACTTGGTTTCAGTTTTCTGCTTATTGTTTGGTTTGGTTTTGGGGAGCAGAACCAATTGATTCAGTAGGGCAAATAAATGTGCTCTCTCTAATTTAAGAATTTATGTCCTTCATCCCTACAGAACCTACAATTGTTTACAAGAGGTTCAAAAGACGGCCACAAAGAGTTATTTGCATGGCAAGCAGCAGATACATAATACAGAATAAAAGAGTTGAAAGGGACCTTGGAGGTCTTCTAGTGCAACCCCCTGCTCAAGCAGGAGACCCTATGTCATTCCAGACAAATGGCTGTCCAATCTCTGCAGTGTTGGAGCGCCCACAACTTTTGGAGGGAAGTCTTTGATTAATTGTTTTGTCAGGAAAGTTCTTCTTAATTCTAGGCGGGCTCGGTCTTTGATAAGCTTCCATCTGTTACTTCTTGTCCTGCCTTCAGATGCTTTGGAGAATAGGTTGACCCCTCTTCTTTGTGACAGCCTCTCAAATATTGGAAGACTGCTATCATATGACCCTAGCCCAGGGGTAGGCAACCTTGGCTCTTTGATGACTCGTGGACTTCAACTCCCAGAATTCCTCAGCCAGCCATGCTGAGGGGAAAGGGAGAGGTTTCCAAGCTGAGCCATGCTGGCTCAGGAATTCTGGGAGTTGAAGTCCACGAGTCATAAAAGAGCCAAGGTTGCCTACTCTTGTTCTAGGTCAGGGATCTTCAAACTTGGCAACTTTAAGACTCGTGGACTTCAACTCCCAGAATTCCTCAGCCAGCCACGCTGAGGGGAAAGGGAAAGGTTTCCAAGCTGAGCCATGCTGGCTCAAGAATTCTGGGAGTTGAAGTCCACAAGTCATGAAGGGGCAAAAGTTTCCCTCATGCTGGCTCAGGAATTCTGGGAGTTGAAGTCCACGAGTCATAAAAGAGCCAAGGTTGCCTACCCCTGCCCTAGCCCTTCTCCTTGAAAGACTAGGCATATCCAGGTCCCATAACTGTTCGTTGTATTCTCCTCCAGACCCCTAATCTACCACCTCCTAATAATATCTCCAAGAAAACAATCCCAACAGCTGGCTTCCCATTAATCCTGATGCAAAATTGCTCCTAGTGTTACAGGCCACGTGAAACAATATCTTCCTTTTCCTGGATGTGAAGTATGAGCGATTCTGTACAGAAATTATGTTCAGAGTTCCCCCATCTTATTTGCATGCTGCTTTGCTTACTGCAGCCTTGTTTCGTTTGAGGCAACACCGAAAGGAACTGATGGCAATTCAGAAGTTCCACATGCTTACAGCAGTGGTGGTGAACCTATGGCACGTGTACCAGAGGGGGGGGAACTCGGAGCCCTCTCTGTGGGCACGTGTGCCTCACTCTTTGGCTACGTTTTCGCAGGAAAAAGCCATTTCTCAAGCCCCTTCCTAGCCAAAACAAGCCTCCGGATGGAGCACGCTGTTTTCAGCTTTGAATTATATCCAATCTGACACCAGAAACAGACTAACAGATGACCTGAGTGCTGCATGTGTTGCTCTCAAACTTACAAAGTATAAGCCAAGGTTAGACAAATTATCAGCATGCATACAACAGCAAAAATCACATTAATTGTTCAAAAGCAGGCCAAATGCAAACTTTTACCTTTCAGTAAAAAGTTGTTGGTATCATTGAAAGCTTTGTTATTGTGTTTTTCTTTTTAGACAAAAGATGTTAATGTATGAGTTATTTTTTCTAAACTAAAACCTCAGTATTCAGATTAAATTTCCGTGTTGGCACTTTGCGATAAATAAGTGGGTTTTGGGTTGCAGTTTGGGCACTCGGTCTCTAAAAGGTTCGCCATCACTGGCCAAGAGGTTGCATTTGCCACCAACACACCGTGCATGACTGCTGGTTTGTGGAATGTTCAATAAAGGACTTTGTCTGTGTGCCGGAAAAAGTATTCTCTTCCCAGCTCTTGGCAATTCAGAAGAAAAGCATTAGGGCTTTACAGCACGGTGGAGGGAAAAAATATATTATAATACTAATGTATACAATACGATAGGGGACTGGAGGCTAAAACATATAAGGAACGGCTGCTGGAATTGGGTATGTCTAGTTTAACGAAGAGAAGGACGAGGGGGGACAGGATAGCAGTCTTCCAATATCTCAGGGGCTGCCACAAAGAAGAGGGAGTCAAACTATTCTCCAAAGCGCCTGAAGGCAAGACAAGAAGCATCGGATGGAAACTAATCAAGGAGAGAAGCAACCTAGAACTAAGGAGAAACTTCCTGACGGTTAGAACAATTAACCAGTGGAACAACCTGCCTCCAGAAGCGGTGAATGCACCAACACTGGAAGTTTTTAAGAAGGAACTTGACAGCCATTTGTCCAAAATGGTATAGGGTTTCCTGCCTGAGCAGGGGTTTGGACTAGATGACCTCCAAGGTCCCTTCCAACTTTATCATCATTATTACTACTACTACTACTACTACTACTACTACTATTATTATTATTATTATTATTATTATTATTATTATTATTATTATTATTATTATTATTATTATTATTATTATTATTATTATAGTATTATAATACAATACTAATCAAGGAGAGAACCAACCTGGAACTAAGGAGAAATTTCCTGACAGTTAGAGCAATTAATCAGTGGAACGACTTGCCTCCAGAAGTTGTGGGTGCTCCAACATTGGAGATTTTTAAGAAGAGATGTTATCAGGTTTCTTGCTTGAGCAAGAGGTTGGACTAGGAGACCTCCAAGGTCCCTTCCAACTCTATTGTGTTAAAAAGTTGCGCAATACCCAAATATTGGCAGGATCTTGAAATGTCATCTTCATTGCCATTGCCATTTTAGGAGAGGCGCAATTAAAGTAGAAATTAGAAGGGCAAAGCTTGTTTCTGGCCCCTGCTTACTCTCTGCTAACGGATGCACCCAATTCCAGGTATGTTCTTCTTGTACTGTTGCAAAGATGTATCTGGAAGGCCTTGAGAAGCAGCAGACTGGCAGTCAGAACAGGAAATAATTCATCACTTTTCTGCTCCTGAAAACAGCCGCAACAGAGGCCAGCAGAGTTCATCACAAGCTTGTGTGTAACATGTAGCTTGCCCAGCGCTGGCGAGGGGAGTCGAAATCTCATATATCTGAATATCGCTCATTTGGGGAAAACTCTTTTAAAAAACCTGCTTGCTTGGGACAGGGGAAGAAGTAGACTACAGGTATCCTCGACTTATGACTACAATTGAGCCCAAAATGTCTGTTACTGAGATAGTTGTTAAGTGAGGTTTGCCCCATGTTTTATGACCTTTCTTGCCACAGTTTTTAAGTGAATCACTGCAGTTGATAAATTAGTGACAATGGCCTTCCCCATTGACTTTGCTTGTCAGAAAGTCGCAAAAAGGGATCACGTGACCCTGGGACACTGCAACTGTCGTAAGTACGAGCCAGTTGCCAAGCATCTGAATTTTGATCACGTGACCATGGGGATGCTGTAATGGTCTTTTGTGTGAAAAACAGCCATGTTGCTTTTTTCAATGCCGTTTTAACTGTCATGGTTCCGACAGAGGAAACTCTTCAAAGAACCTTGAGGCATTGTTTACCTTAAAGAATCTTTATTCAGGCAGCATAGCTTCGGCACGTACATGGTCGAAGCCAAAAACAGGATTCCCCTCCCCTGAACACATAGTATCAAAGCACAATTCCCTCCTCTAATTTACAGTCATAAATCACATTCTCCAATTAGTTTGAAATGCAGGCTTTCCCTCCATTACTCCATCCCGCCATTTCTTATGATCTCTTATTTCAAAAGTCCTGAGTTCACACACTATTACAATATTGTTATGTCGAACTAACTCCCCTCACATTCCTCCTCCTCCCCCCAGTATCATCTAATTCTAAGAGTGAAGCATAAGAAAGAAGAAGGCTGCATCTCCAGATGTTGTCAAAGCAAGAACATCCGATGTTAGCAGCGTTGACAGTAACTTTGAACGGTCACTAAATGAACTGTTGAAAGTCGAGGACTACCTACCTGTATGTTTATAAAGAAAAAGCTTCCTTCATCACTGCAGACTAATTAGAGCAGACAGGTCAAACACAAGGCCCAGGGGCCGGATGCGGCCCGCGAAGTGGTTTCATGTGGCCCGCGAAGCCATCCTGGAAACAGTGAGGGAACGGCCCCCGCTGCCTTGGCCCTGGCCCAGGCCGGCCGGGAGCCAAGGTACAATTTTGTGGTGGCCATCTATGCTGAAACACATTCAGTCTTAGCTCCACAAGGCCGTCTGGAAACAGCGAGGAACCAGCCCCTGCCACGTCGGCCCCGTCCCCTGGGTTCATGCTGGGGAGGTGTCACCCTTTGTGAGGAATGAAGAAATGGACCATCACCTGGAAGTGGCCAGCAAATGGCCCTCGCCTGCTTCACATATGGGCTTTGCCCTGGTCCCACCCCCTTCTGCCAGAGACCCTCGGATCTGTCCCACTCCTGCCCAGGCCCCCACAGGCACCCTTGACGCGAATGATGTAGAGCTGGCCACACCCACCCAGTAGGCCACACCCATTCCATCCACGCCCACCCAGTAGGCCATACCCACCCTGGCCACACCTACCTGCCCCCCCAAGGGCAACCGCAATGCTGATGCGGCCCTCAATGAAATTGAATTTGACACCTCTGAATTAGAGGAAGCAGCCCGAATGCTACACAGCACTCCAAGAACACAGCATGGACTTCCTACCTTCATTGGCTTCAGGTCTGGAATTCTTGATGAATGCTGAAAATTTAGCAAAGATGTCCATCCCAGCAGTGTTGGATTCTGGGTGTTTTACTGAAAGCTTTACATACCTGAAAGAGATTAAGTGACAGACAGCATGAGCTGGGACACAGGATTAGACTTCTCGGCTTATTCCTTGTAGCCCTCATTGTTAGTAACATCCCTTTCAATACGGATTTGTGACATTCCGACACTTGAATTTTGATTTTCGTCCAATATCCCCTTAAGAAGTCCATAAAGTGATGCTTCAGGTTGAAATATCCAGTAAGTCCTCAACTTGCAACCATTTGTTTAGTGACCGTTTGAAGTTACAATGGCACTGAAAAAAAATAACTTATGATCATTTTTCAAACTTACGACTGCTGCAGCCTCCCTGTAGTCACGTGATCAAAATTCGGGAGCTTGGCAACTGGCATGTACTTTTGACAGTTGCAGTCTCCTGGGGTCACGTGATCCCCTTTTGCAACCTTCTGACAAGCAAAGTCCATGGGGAAGCCAGATTCACAACAACCGCGTTACTAACTTAGCAACTGCAGTGATTCACTCAACAACTGTGGCAAGAAAAGTCGTTAAATGGGGCAGAACTCACTTAGCAACTGTCTCGCTTAGCAACAGAAATGGGCTCAATTGTGATCGTAAGTCGAGGACCACCTGTACTCCAATTCTGTATCAATCGGTCACTTGAATTTTAACTGCTCTTTGCAGACTCCGCTCAAATCTGGCCAGGGCCTAAAAGTATGAAAGGCGGGGACACGACTTCGCAACTAACAACAATGAAAAGATTGTGAAATGAGCTTATTCAAGACTGAAACTGGGGGCAGGGGAGGAAGAGAGGGCTCTTCGTGCAAATGTTTCGGTCCCAGAGGTCCTAAAATAAATCCCAACAGCAGCTCACAGGTGCCACGCTAGCCTGCAAGCCATTGTTCTGCTTGCTTTGTTCCACAGTTTTTACCGACAGGAAATTCTTCCTGATATTGTCTGAATCTCCTTTCTTTTAATTTGAAGTTGCCGGTCTTTGTCGGATTCTGAATTTCAATGAAGAATAGAGCTACAGCAACCTCTTGCAAGCGACAACTTTTTAGACCAGTGGTTCTCAACCTGTGGGTCGGGACCCCATTTGGGGTCGATCGACCATTTCATGGGGGTCGCCAAGCAAGGCTGTCCGCCATTTTTTTTGTCCATTTTTTTTGTCCGCCATTTTTTCCCCCTTTTCTGGCGGGTGCCTTACCTCCCTTGGGCTGGGCCAGCTGGTGGTCGGCCTGCTCCGTCTCTGCCGCTTGCCAGCTACGCCTCGGCCGGCGCAGGGGGCGGAACCACGCATGCGCGGCGCTCCCGGGCAGGGAAAGTCCTCGACTTATGACCGGTTGGGTAGTCCTTGACTTACAACTGGTTTAGTCCTCAACTTACGACCGGTTTAGTCCTTGACTTACAACCGGTTTAGTCCTCGACTTACGACCGGTTGAGGTCGCGGCATTAAAAAGGTTGAGAACCACTGTTTTAGACGGTGCTAGAACACTACTTCTTTTTCTTTTTTAACCCACCTTTTTTTTTTAAATAAGGTGGACAGCGTAGCCTCTACTCCTTCCTCCTCCTCTTTCCCCGCCCCTGCTCAAAAAACTCTGGGAAGTGAGGTGAAGTGGGCTGAGAAAGAGTGACTGGCCCAAAGTCACTCAGTCAGCTTTCATGCTTAAGATAGGACTAGAACTCACCAACTCCTGGTGTCTTCAACCACTACACCAAACTGGTTCTCTATGAGATCAGCTTCAGATCTTTTAATGATTCCTTGGTGTGTTTGGTGTTCAGTAACCCTTGTGTCTCCTAGAGGAGATCAACCCTGACTGCTCTTTAGAAGGCCAGATCCTGAAGTTGAAACTCAAGTACTTTGGCCACCTAATGAGAAGGAAGGACTCACTGGAGAAGAGCCTAATGCTGGGAAAGATGGAGGGCAATAGAAGAAGGGGACGACAGAGAAGGAGGTGGCTGGATGGAGTCACTGAAGCAGGAGGCGTGAGCTTCAATGGACTCCAGAAGATGGCAGAGGACAGGAAGGCCTGGAGGAACGTTGTCCATGGGGTCGCGATGGGTCGGACACGACTTCGCAACTAACAACAACAATCCCTTGTGTCTCTTCTCTGGGCCTGTCCTAATTTATCCATATCCCTTTCAAACCGGATTGTCCAGAATTGAACATAATATTCCAAATCTAACCACGACAAAGTATAACAGTTGTTAAGTGCGAGGACCAGTTGTAAGTCACTTTCCATAAATATCAGCCGCCTGCCAAAATTTTGATCATGCAACCGTGGGGATACTGCAACAGTCGTTAAGTGTGAGGACCAGAGTTGTAAGTCATCTTTTTCACTGCAGCTGTTGTGATTCCTCACCAGCCCAGGGGATCCAGCAGCTGAGTCTCAGATGAGGAGGAGGGGCCTGGAGTGACATTGGAGTCACTTTGAGGAGCACCAAGACTCACAGTCAGACGAGGAGGCCGGCCCTTCTACTCACGATCCGGCAGAAACACAGCTGTTTTGGGAGCCTGAGTTGGGTGACGAAGAGGAACAGCTGGGGACAATCCCGGATGCGCGGATGCGCAGAGCAGAGAGACGAGCAAGACAGAGGAAGGCAGTGGGGCAGCTCAAGAGGCAAAGGAAAAGCCATTAAGAAGCCATGCCCCGGCTGGATTATAAAGGGGGAAGGTGTGGGAGGTGCTGGTTGCCAAACGGAACCATTCGAGCTGAGGATTGGGTTTTTGTGGATTGTGTTGCTTGCCTCTGAAGTGTTGGACATTGAGTCGGGTGTGTAAAAATAAAAGGGGTGTCAGAATCCAGTTATATTTCCTTTTATCTATCTTCTCTGATCTAAAACCAATTCTTACCCTTCCCTGGATCCTGCCATACTCCCAAGGGGGAGGGGGGGATATGCATGCAGGTTTATTACTTTCACTTCCTCTATTCACTACAAAGTAACCTTTTGTTTATTCGCTTTCGTGTTTGCTAACCATTACAATGTAACAATTTGCTTCTTATCCTATGCCCCCTCTCAACTTCTCCTCCTTACCAGGCAGGTAGGAAAAGGGGGGCGAAAAAATACAGACCTCCGGGATCTGGTTTATTTCTCCGTCATCAAAATAAGGTGTGAAGAGCTGCTGAATGATCATGCACAAGGAAGCCGGATTGATGTTATCTTTCCTGGATTTAACACCTAGAAATTTGCCGGTCTGAATCGCCTGGAAGAACTGTGGGGTGGGTGTTGCTTAGGGACACTTTAAAACATCGATCTGTAAGGGAATCCCTCAGATCCTGTGTATTATGCCTGCTATCAATTACTCTTAATAAAAGTTCCTGTTGGAAGAGATTGTTTCCAAGAGTTCTGCTTTCTTAAGATGTGGACTGAAGTGGTTCCTTACAAGGGGTTTGTTTTTTCTTGTGGGTCCTGCCTGGTTCCATGAAGAGGGGTTTCTTCTCGTGAGTAAAGCAGTTGAGCAAGTACTCGTGTAGGCTGGGACAGAACAGGAACTTCAAAAGATCGCTGAAGAAATAGATGCAAGTTGCAGAATACTTGTACTAGATCAGGGGTGCCAAACTGCCAGCCCGCAGGCCAGATGCGTCATAGTGAAACGGGCACCCACCCCTTTGCCGGCAATGAGAAAAAAGTCATGACACGCCACATGAGGTTGCGAGTTTGACACCCCTGGTCTAGATTGTGCAGTCCAAACAGCTTTGGATTCAGTGAGCTAAGCACACTTTGAGAACCAACGAGGGCAACGATGGAAAATAACTACAGGAATCTCGCCCTTCCCTTCTATCCGACCATCCCAGTGACACCTACTTGGGTGGGCAGAGAACTTCTTCAAGGAACTCTTCAATCTTGTTCACATCAGTTTTCACTTCGTTATTATAGGTGATGAAAGGCGGGTGTGTTCCGGGAGCCAAATTCTGAAGGTCTGCAGGCTTCCTGAGGGAGAGAGAGATGTGATATTGCACACATTACAAACAGTTCAAGGAATGCTCCCAATCCTAGCGCACATCATCATTTGCAACATAACATGCCCGTAGTTAGGACCCTGGGAATCATTATACATTAGAGGACTGAGACAGGAGCAAAAAGGGACCCCAACCCAGCAGCATATCCTGATTTCTAAAAATTTGACAAACTGGACTAAGAAATCAAAAATGTGATAACCAAGGCAGTGCTGTTTTGCTTCCAGGACTGAGAATAAAAATGAGTTTATTCTATACAAGCTCTGTGTGCTTATATTTTTATGGATTATTCAAATTGCATTCATACATTCTCTTTACATTATGTCCAACACCCACCCCTTCTCAATCCCCAACAAATGCCACATTTATTTCGTTTTGGGGAGGCAGCTTCATCTGACCAGGCCTTTGCCCCAGCCACCCACAACATAAACTCCAGTAACACTGAGTTCTCCATCCAACGAGGGGATATGAAGACCCCTTTTTGACTTGCAGAAACAGTCACCATTTTGATAAAGGAGAATATTTGTAGCTCAGGGCTGAAATGATGCTCTACTCAGCTTGGTGATTTTCTTGCGGACGTTTCATTATCCAAACTAGGTAACATCATCACTTACCCTTAGTTTGGGTAATGAAACGTCTGCAAGAAAATCACCAAGCTCAGACAGCATCAAGGATCCCTCATTCACCCTTCCTTCCTCACCCGTTTTGCACGCATTGGGAGAAAAGCTCAGGGGTGAAATACTTCCAAACAGATTCAGTATTTTTTTTTTTAAAAAAAAAAGGTGGGAAAAACATACTATCTCATCAAAGCTGGAAATTAGAGATACCCTTTAACCTTCTTTGATAAAATCAAAAAAAGGAAATAGCATGCTTCAGCATTTACTCTCATTTTAATAGAAATAGGTGGAGCACTTTGTGTCTCCAAATAATATTTCCAAATAAGGCAAGGGTGGATGGGTAGGCTATAAATCTCTTTGGGGAAAAAAAAACCCGATAGCAGTAGATCTGCAGGGAAAAGCATGGAAATTCCCCCCCGAGTGCTATAGATGCCTGCCTGTCTTCAAGTCTGCTTCCTCTTAGAACAGGGCTGGCTTCACAAGTTCATCACAAGACATTACCTAAAACCTGCTTCTCCAACCCCACCCGTTTCGGAGATTCTTAACAGAGAAAAGTATGTCTGTTTGTTAGCCTTCTTTTCTTGGAGGAGGATGACAAACAGATCAGCTATTTTGAGAGAATGCATCTGTTTACAGGAAATTGAGGATGAAGCATTATTGTTTGTTTGTTTGTTTTAAAAAAATGAGAATGATAACGATGGGCTCTCATTACTAAGAACAAGGTGGTTTCTCTTAGATGTCAGGAAGTGGAAGCAGGTATTTTTTTAAAAAAATGGGTCCAGATTTTGAGTATCGTCCTTGAATTAATTTCTAGATGTTGCTTTAAGCAAGGAAGGCACAGATTTGACCGGGGCAGAAACAGAGGAAGTTACTTTGAGCCACCAAGAAATAGGACAGATTATGTAGTTTTAGTTGATGTTCTGCACCTTTGCTTTTGAAGCACGACTAAAAAAATAGCTTGGCTTTTCCGAGATCTTTTTCATATTTACTAATGGATGTAATAACTGCCCCTCTGCCAGCTATTTCCCCTAGCAGTAATGTGGGAGAGATGTAGGTGTCTGCATATTTTGCGATGCTTGTGCATATAATCTGGAGAAACTCAAGCAACCTCAGTTTTCAAGTTCCACATTGGCAAAGTGGCTTCGCCCTGCAGTTTGTTTGGGTGCCACTGCAGTGTGCTGCCGATACCGACCTACCGATGCAAATGGAGCTACTACTTCGGCCGACTGGTTTCCAGTCACTCCAGATTGCAAATGTGCAGTGAGCAGTGGGGCTGGAATGGGGAGGTGAAGGGAATACAGGTTTCCAGGGATTCTACTCTCGCCTTCAGTTTCGGATTCAGTAAGTAAATTATTGCATGCCTGTCCTGTCAAATATGTTGCTTGTCATTTAGACAAGAGACACTGAATGATACCAATCAGGGCGTGGGGCTGGTGACATCAGTACATTGCTGACACCGAGCTCTAGGGTTTTTTTTCCCCGTTAAAATCAGGTAAGGTCTTGTCAAACCAGGAGTAGGCAACCTTGGCTCTTTTATGACTGGTGGACTTCAACTCCCAGAATTCCTGAGCCAGCCGTGCTGAGGGGAAAGGGAGAGGTTTCCAAGCTGAGCCATGCTGGCTCAGGAATTCTGGGAGCTGAAGACCACGGGTCATGAAGGGGCCAAAGTTTCCCTCATGCTGGCTCAGGAATTCTGGGAGCTGAAGTCCACAAGTCATGAAGGGGCCATAGTTCCCCCATGCTGGCTCAGGAATTCTGGGAGTTGAAATCCACAAGTCATGAAGGGGCCATAGTTCCCCCATGCTGGCTCAGGAATTCTGGGAGTTGAAGTCCACCAGTCATAAAGGGGCCATAGTTCCCCCATGCTGGCTGAGGAATTCTGGGAGTTGAAGTCCACAAGTCATGAAGGGGCCAAAGTTTCCCTCATGCTGGCTCAGGAATTCTGGGAGCTGAAGTCCACAAGTCATAAACGGGCCAAGGTTGCCTACCCCTGGTCTAGACAATGTAGCAGAGTGGATGTGGGGCAATAAAATGAAATTAAATCCTGACAAAGAAGAGCCACTGGACTGGCAACTCACAGGTCTGGGAAGGAGGTATGCCTCTCTCTTCAGAGGAAGCTGCACTTCCCTTAAAAGATGCAAATTCCAGATTTAGCATGTTCCTGGATTCTGCTACCACTCAAGGCACAGGTTGTATTAGTGACCTTACTGTGCTCAGCTCTAAACATCAAAATGCACACGTGGAGATTATTATTATTTGCATAAATACAAAAAAAATACCTATATCTAACCATTTACATATTGAAAACATTAAGAATTATATTTTGTTTAAGGTTGAAGGAGAATATAAATGGGAGAAGGGAAGATCAAAGAAATCTGTCATTAATTAATATACTAATTATGGAATTGTCAAACTTAAAACATTATTGATTGTTAATTGATTATCGTCTTTTTTTTTCCTTGTTAAAATATAAACCAAGACAACACGCTGTACACCAGGCACTGGGGATCGTTATAGTTAAAAACCAATAAAATATTTATATATTAAAAAAAGCACACGTGAACAACCTGGAGAGGGTAAAAGACTTCATAGGTGTATGTCATCTAAGGGAGGTGACTCATATTCCACCTCGTCCCAAAGCCAATATTTCCTGCCTCAGCGCTTCCAGATCCCTCTCCCTCGTTCAACCCCAACACAATAGCCGGCTTTGTAAACCTGTTGCAAACTCTGTAGGTGGTTTGAATGTCCCAGTGGGTCCTTTTCCAGAAGACGCCGAGGAACGTGAGTCAGTTTCATGCCTGAAGCAGCTGAAGCTTCAATTACAACATTGCTGTGTACACCCATCGTAATTACAGGAAATCACTGGAGTGGCTTTCCCCCCCTGGCTGGAAGAAGAATCCTTTTAAGAGAGTGGCGAGATGGACGACTTTAATCCAAAATGGTAAGGTGTACTTAAATGGATGGCGTACGCTGCATTTTGTTCTTGGAGTAGGCGAGACCAACTCTAACTTGCTGGCAAAAAAAAAAGTCATTTTGAAAGCAGGTAAAGGGAGAAAAGGGGGCACGATGGCCCAGTAGTGAAAACCCTGGGCTTGTCAACTGAAAAGTCAGCGCTTTGAGACCCAAGAACCACATGACGGGCTGAGCACCTCTTCCTGCCGCAGCTCCGCCAACCTAGCAGTTCGAAAGCATGCAAATGGAAGTAGATAAACGGGTACCACTTTGGTAGAAAAGTAACGGCACTCGGCGTATAGTGCTCCTGGCCACATGACCATGGAAGCGGCTAGGAAACAGAGATGAGCCCCCAAGAGTTGGACCTGACTGGTCAGAAAAACCTTTCCCTTCCTAAAGAGAGAAAAAAGGAATTCTGGCATCGTTTTCCTTGGAATTTAAATCCAGTTGAGAAGAGAAGAGAAGAGAAGAGAAGAGAAGAGAAGAGAAGAGAAGAGAAGAGAAGAGAAGAGAAGAGAAGAGAAGAGAAGAGAAGAGAAGAGAAGAGAAGAGAAGAGAAGATGATAAGTTGATGAGATGAGATGAGATGAGAAGAGATGAGAAGATGATAAGATGAGATGAGAAGAGAAGAGAAGAGAAGATGGTAAGTTAAGATAAGATAAGATGAGATGAGATGAGATGAGATGAGAAGAGATGATAAGATGAGAAGAGAAGAGAAGAGAAGAGAAGAGAAGAGAAGAGAAGAGAAGAGAAGAGAAGAGAAGAGAAGAGAAGAGAAGATGGTAAGATAAGATAAGATAAGATAAGATAAGATAAGATAAGATAAGATAAGATAAGATAAGGTGAGATGAAATGAGATGAGATGAGATGAGATGAGATGAGATGAGAAGATGATGAGATGAGATGAGATGAGATGAGATGAGGTGATGTGATGAGATAACCTTTGTCATTTTTTTTTACTGTGGGCACAACGGCACACATCGAAAATGAAATTTAGTTGCCCGCTAAGTGTCCCTTTATCCATATCAAACATTACTGGGTTCTGTGTAAACTTCCTTTTTCTCCTGACGTCTTGCTAGTTACTCTCAAGCTAGTTACATATTTCTACTAATCCAAACACAGGAAATGAAATTCTAGACGAGTGTCTTCTCTAGAGTTCTCTAGAAATCTGATGTTCTCCAGATATGCTGAACTGTGACTTCTCAACCAGCACAGTTAAATTATGGAAGTTGAGTTCAAGTGGAAGAGCCAAGGTCTGGGAAAGCTACACCAGAGTAGAGGAAGCCAACAAGCTATGTTCCAGTTGTTCTGAACGACAGCATCCTTAGGCAGCAGAGCCCGTGACGGGGGATGCTGGGAGCTGAAATCCAGCATTATTGGTACTGCCACTGGTTGCCTCTCCCTG